ACACTCACACACACACACACACACACACACACACAGACACACAGTATATTTCACTCACTTGTTCCTCTCTGTTGTTTATGATGATCAGATCTGCTCCTCTATCCTTACAGTCTTGTCTGCTCTCAGTCCAGCTCTTCCTCTCATAGGAAATGAAGTAAAGACTGGACTGATAGTAAAAAACATCCACCTGTTAACATAAGCAGTTTAAGTATTAGGACTTTATTCCCATCCACACTGAACTACTCAACTTTTTTATAACAGGTTTTACCCAAAGTTTGTATAGCTGTGGTGTAGTTCATAATAACCCACTTCATGAAGACGTTTCCGCAGGTCATTGTTCTCCTGCTGTAACTGCTCTCTTTGTTTCATTACAACATCATGCTTGGATAATAAATCTTTCTTTTCAATTGTCAGGCTGTTGTTCTGGATCACTAACTGGTATTTCTCTGTTTTGTAATCTTTGATCGTGATCAGTAGCTGGTCTCTCTCTTCTGTGAGGTTGTTAATCTTGGTTAGTAGCTGGTGTGTCTCTTCTGTGTAGTTTGTGCTGTTTGTATGGATGTGGACACCCAGCACTATGACTGCAGTCAGCAGAAGAACACACAGCAGCACCAAACACACTACAGCTGCTCTGGAGCTTCTGATCTTCACTGAATCACTTCCTGAACAACACAGGCATGATGTTAAATGAATGTGCAAATTTTGACATTTAATCAAAGAAATTATTGTGATTACCTGTGTGCTGAAGTGGTTGGTGTGTGTTTGTCTCTGTCCTGAAGTCATGATCTCTCACATGATCTACACTCTCATAGATATCCACCATTATCTCCACTCTCTCTCTCTTCATTCCCTCAGTCTCAGTCCTGATGACATTATCATAAATAGTATCAGACATCTCTGCTCTTTTTAAAGTTCAACACTAATATTCTGTGATGATGCTGAATGATATTTCGGTGTCATTCAGCTCATAGACTAACTAAAATAATAACTAAACACAACGGAACTGGAATGCAGTAAATATGTGAGGCAGGGGCATAGCCAGAAATGTTTAAGTGGGTGGGCCTACATAAAACAGGGTGGCCAAAGTGTAGCATATGAAAACTGGAAGAACACACAGCAGCACCAAACACACTACAGCTGCTCTGGAGCTTCTGATCTTCACTGAATCACTTCCTGAACAACACAGGCATGATGTTAAATGAATGTGCAAATTTTGACATTTAATCAAAGAAATTATTGTGATTACCTGTGTGCTGAAGTGGTTGGTGTGTGTTTGTCTCTGTCCTGAAGTCATGATCTCTCACATGATCTACACTCTCATAGATATCCACCATTATCTCCACTCTCTCTCTCTTCATTCCCTCAGTCTCAGTCCTGATGACATTATCATAAATAGTATCAGACATCTCTGCTCTTTTTAAAGTTCAACACTAATATTCTGTGATGATGCTGAATGATATTTCGGTGTCATTCAGCTCATAGACTAACTAAAATAATAACTAAACACAACGGAACTGGAATGCAGTAAATATGTGAGGCAGGGGCATAGCCAGAAATGTTTAAGTGGGTGGGCCTACATAAAACAGGGTGGCCAAAGTGTAGCATATGAAAACTGCATGTCAGATTGCCAACAGAAAATATAGCACAAAGGTTCAATACACAATACTTCTAAAGCATTGATTAACATTAATGTTAATATCAAAATTTACTAATACAGTATTAAAATTAAAAGTTGCATCTGTTGATATTTGCACCTGAGCTAATGTTAACAATGATTTATAAACACTGTAACATACTGTATATTGCGCATTGTTAACTTTAGTTAATGCATTAACTAATGTTAACTAAAGGAAGTTTATTGTAAAGCATTACCTCAGGCTGAGACAGTGTCTCTGTTAGCTTGCATTCAAAGGAGAGTAAACATCGAGGACCATAGAAATGTGTGCTGCTACAAATATGCAGTTTGTTGTGGAGAAGAGTATCTAGCACAATGTTTATGTGTTTCTTTCCATGATCAAACACTACCTATGCTAATATGATGCTTCAAACACGCTCGGCTCAGAAGTTTCCAGTCTATAAATCCATCACCTACAGGTGGTCGGTCGGGCTTCATTTGTAGACGGTCCGGATTCTTTGCTAAGACTTTTACTTTTTAAAGAATTGATCTGATTGATGTTGGCTTCATTATTTTCATATTCAACCCCACAAACGTGTGTCGAAAACGTAACATTGTGGGTGGGATTAACAGAAACTGATGAATCATCATTTTGACAAGTGTATGGTATGCCCCTATAGGAAGAGGGAAAACTAAGTGACAGTGCAAAGTGTAAGAGCAAGTTATTTTAGCCAAAGATGTCAAGACTTCAGAAAATCTCAAGTCTTCAAGAAATGTCATTCTTGTCTTCCTTTTGTTCTTTGTCAGTTCATCAAGTCAGCAGGCCCTACGCCGTGCACAGAGGAAAATATAGACTCATTAATGAAAATACATGCTAATATTGAATTGTTTATAAGTACAGTCAACCCAATGTTGAGAACTTCAGAAGTCCTCAAAAAGCGATGAATAAAATATGCAAGCACTAGCCTTAATTAAAAGTTCTGTTTGTGGTTGGATGCTTTACATGCGGCAACAAAACGATGACTGTACAGAGTAATTACCCTTGTGTGCCATGACTAAGATGAAATGTTTTGCTTTGAAATGGGAAAGATTGAGTTTGTATTGCCTCTGATAATAGGTGTCATTTAAGATGCAGTCCACAGCCCTAACAAGGTCTTGAAAGTGTTTCGGAGCCTTGAGGAATTCGAATGTCTTGAATCTCTTAAGAAGTGACCTATTTACACTGCGTTAGAGAATTTAATTTCCACTAGATTCACACACACACACACACACACACACACATTTTAGACTGCCGACTTCAAACTGTGATGTGAGTTACTAGTATGGATTATTATGCAGTAGTTAAAACAAACAGAATAAATCTGTGTAGCGAATCAGCTCATTCATGGGGAAATATGAATAATTAATCATAACTAGTTATAATTAATTATAAATATTTAGATCCGCTGTAGATATTTACTTGACCTCTCAGGGTCAACTGTCTGTCAATTCTAAGACTGTCTCTAAGAAAGAACTTCTATTTTGGCCAACAATGTGTCAGTGGTAAGCAATGTTACCACTCAGAGGTGAGCAATGTTAGACTGGTAGAAATTGAACAACTAATATACAATTTGGATTATCATCTTGTTGAAGTGTTGCATCCTCAAGTTTACCTTTATCATACGTTTTTAAGCCTTGCCAGGTCATGATTGACACTGTATATATATATATATATATATATATACATATTTTTTTTAATTTTTTTTTAATTTTTTTTTTGCAAAATCCAGTCATTTTAATAGGAATCTGCACAATCAGGAATTTAGTGTGAGGGTGAAAGATTTCCCCATGCAGTTTTCACAACTTGTTCAAGTTGGTCATGTGGATTGGCCGAACTGACCTAGTGCTTTTATGGTCTTGGCTATGGTTTGGTCTTGGCGGAATAGATCTGCTATGCTGCTGCTGCTGCTGCGAGCAAGTACAGAAACTTGCTACTGCCAATACATCCACAGACATGCTGCTGTGAGCATGTAAGAAATAATGCTGCTGCACATATTACATATATGAAATAACCCCCGCATATATAACATACATGAAATTACTCCGTAGCAGAGCTACACAGGTGGAGCTGGGGAAAGTGGAGGGTTTCTGAAGAGTGCTGCAACTGCACTAGCCGAGTATTTGCATGTTGAGCAGCAAGCTCATTGATACAAAAAAACATGTGAATAATGATGTCATTGTGTCAGACAGAGTTAGAACCTATAGGTCTGTGCCATCTAGAGTTTCATGACAGAACTTTGTATTTACATCATTAGTATTAGTTTTTGCTGTGTTATTAAATAATTGAGAATTCACAATTCTCAATTATTTAATAACACAGCAAAAACTAATTTTAATGTAATCTAAAATGCTTTGCCTTATTTCCAGCAAAAAATAACTATACTGTGAAATATATTGTTATCATAAAATAAAATTACTTATATTCCAATATAAGATTTTGGTTATATCATCAACACCTATGTAAGAGACATAAGATTCTGAGAGTGAAATAAGAAGAAAGTCTTGGCATCCTGTACCCTTTGTGCCCTCTATCTTTTACTCACTGTATCTCTCTGTTGTTTGAGTGTGTGTGTGTGTGTGTGTGTGTGTGTGTGTGCCACTCATTATTTCCTCTCTTCTCAAGTCCAGGTGTTGGTCTGCCTTTTAGCAGGTTATATCCTGTGAACCGACACCTGTGGGTCACAAAGCAGCTCCCTCTGGTCCATCCCCACCATCTGCCCAACACACAAACACACACACGCTCACATACCGACATGACATCTGATGAATACAGAATATGTGATGCCATTATTTTAGGTGTGTTCAGTGAATGTAAAATAAATGTGAAAATTCTCATACTAGCAAAGTATTTATATGCTGAAGCAACTGCTAATAGCATTAAATCTAAAATGGTTCACCAGATGTTGGGTTGATGTGTATATTAGTGTAATTTAATTTCAGGACATTAAACCAGGGCTTTTACCTACACTTTCTCTGTCGATTTTAATGGCGGGAGTGGCAGAAATGGCATACATTGTGAAGGATCGTTGCTGTGAAATTATCACAGCACTACTGATTAACAGGCTGATTGCGCGATACTGTTAACTACAGCACTACTGATTAAATACAGAATACAAGAGCACAATTCATCTGATTACAGTCTCAGAGGACCGTGGGAGACACCAAACAGTGTCACTGTTTAAACAGTGCTTTAGTTTTACAACCGTATACTGTATATTCCTAAAATATATGTGATTAAAGCGAATGCTTATCATTTGTAGTTTCTGTGATAGAAATAACTAGTCTGGAACTTGTATTGTGGTGTAAGACAGACAATATCCCATCATGCACTTCAGTTCTGATTATTTGTAAATAATTAGTGATGCTGGGATTATAAAATTGGCAAAATGATCATTTTTCATTGAAGAAGGGACTGGAGTCATATAGTGACCAGAATGCATAGAGACTTGGGGGAGGGCACTTTTGATTTAGGCCAGTAAGAATCCATTCTGAACATAGTAGAAACACACTGGCAACCATGAACCACTCCATAGTAACCGCTTAGTGACACCATAGTATCATGGTGGTTTTGTAAAATGTAAAAAATGGGTAACACTTTATTTCGATAGTCCACTTTAGACATTCTATTAACAGTAAGTAACTTTGCAACTACATGTCAACTAGCAGTTAGTAGAGTATTAGTAGACTGTCTGCTTAATATCTTCTAACACTTTCTTTGTCAACTTATTCTACTAACCCTAAACCTACCCTAACAGTCTACTCTTGAGAGTTAGTAGACATGTAGTTGCAAATGAATGAGAATTAGTTGACATGTAGTTACAAAGTTACGTATAGTTAATAGATTTGCATTATTGACACACTATTTTCCTAATGAATGCTGTTCAGTTGCTTTGACACAATCTGTATTGTTAAAAGCGCTATATAAATAAAGGTGACTTGACTTGACTTGACTATCGAAATAAAGTGTAACCAAAAAATGTAGTGTTGTGGTTATTTAAAGGAATAGTTCACCCAAAAATTTAAATTTCCTGAAAATTTACTCACCTTTAGGCTACCCAAAATGTAGATGTGTTTGTTTTATCATGGGAACAGATTTGGAGAAATCTAGCATTACATCACTTGCTCATCAATGGATTCTCTGCAGTGAATGGGTCAGAATGAGAGTCCAAACAGCTGATAAAAACACAACAATAATCCTACTATGCACAGATCAAGCATTGTTAACAGTCCAAAACAGTCCAATACAGTTCTTAACAAAATATGTCGGTGGATTTTACT